TCGTTGAGGAAGGCTCAGGAAAAAAAAATTGAAACAAATCCAAACCTAATTAATAATCCTTTACCACACCACAACCCTTATACATACACACACTCACTCACACACACACACACACACACACACACACACACACACACACACACACACACACACACACACACACACACACACACAGAAAAGAGTGGCAGAGAGGAGAGACAACTAACCAATGACGTGTTAACCTGACATTTCAGCCCCTGCCCCTCAAGCGTACAGAGTCAGACCGGCGTTTTTCCCGCGTCATGTCCGCCCAGTGTCTCCGCTCTGCCATGGCTCTCTTGGTCGCTCTCTCCTTCTTCTCCTCATCGCTCGTCTTCCTTCCTCTCCAAGAGAGACAGGTGAGTATAATCATCATCATCGTCATTATCATCGTCCTCATCTTCATCATCATCATCCGGTGCCTTGCCGACTGGCGTGGGCGATCATGGACCTCCACTTCCCTCTGTCCTGCGTTGCAGCGATGGTGTCTGTTGTTCTTGCTGTTCCCAGCCATGTTGTCAACTTGTCCAGTATCTTTTCCCAATGTCTGCCTCTGCCTCTCTTTCCATCAAACTTGCCTGTTGTTACAATATTCTCCAATGCTTCTTTCCGCTCTGTGTGTCCAATGAAATAAGTGAGTATCGGTAACTCTACTTGTGTGGGGAAAAAATAGATATCATTTGTATAGCGCAAATCCCCGCTCAACAGCAAGCTCTATGCGCTTCACAATCTGTACTATTACCCCAGCAGGCCCAGAACCAATGGTTACACTGACCAAAAAAAACACTTTTTTCTCGAAACTGCTGTGAATAGAATTTTTTTAAGACGTTTTGTCAGCTTACGGCAGAGTACACGCGATGACCTTCGCCCCTGGCTGGACGGCGCCACGTTTCAGGGGTTGCTGCTTCTTCTTCTTCTTCTTCTTTTTCTTCTTCTTCTTCTTCTTTTTCTTCTTCTTCTTCTTCTTTTTCTTCTTCTTCTTCTTCTTCTTTTTCTTCTTCTTCTTCTTCTTTTCTTTCCCTTTGTTGTTTCTGTCAATCTACCTCACAGTTACCCGGAACAATATGACTATTAATGTGTCAATGTGTTTCTCTCTACTTAAACAAGAAACAAATAAGAGGAAGAGAGATTCATTGTTGACGAGCTGGATAGGAAGGTTGCAGTAATCATCAAAAGTCTTTGGCAAAATTTATTTGAAACAAATAGCCTTTGGTTAGTGTTCTATTGCAGTGTAATGTGTTGTATATTTGTCAGGAAAATTGGTGATTTGTCTTGTTTGTATGACGTGTCAACTCTTTGAATGCGTAGCATACAAATACGTCCGATCAGCAGTACGCCAAAGGCAATGTTGTGACACATTTCGATCCACCTTACTACGCAAATTAGAAACAGGAATTACTTACACTTCACTGTGTACCTTTTGTTGCTGGCCATTTTAGAACAGAATGGAAAAATGTGCATGAATGACGGAGTTGTGCATCTTTTCTAAAGCGTTTTGATGACCCGAATGCGCGTCGTCAAAGAGTTAACGCCATTGCAGAACGTGCAGTGAAGGGTTCAAAATGTATTGCAGAAACATTCAGGGTTGTGTTAGGACTAGCCTCTGTAATCTGTATATATATTAATATATTTGTGAAAGTTCGTCACTTTGGTGGCCTAAAACTTCCGAATCATTTAACTTTCGAATCTGAAAAAAAAATAACGGTGGTTCAGAATCATTTAAAGTGTGCACAGTTATATTAAGGAGTCTGAAGTCAAATTTTTCATTAGTTTCGTGATTTGATTTGGGGAAAGTCCGTCTTCTAAGACACCATTGTAAACAAGTGAGGTTTCCGTTTTCTACCAGCGTGCACAGGTTCCACAATGACTTGACGATCGATTCTTTTGATTCCGTTCATCGAACGGGTACCAAAGATCCTAAATAACAAAATAGTTCACCCAGCCCAAAACAGTGTCTGTGGAAGTCCACACATTGGTTCAGAGGGCGCAGCAGTCTTGGTTTTGAAGCTTTCTTTCGTTTCTCCAGAAGAAGAATAGGAATATCACTGTTTGTATGTTTCGCTTTTATTGTTTTTCACACAAGTTAGGTAACTCTATTCACAAAGTACGCACTTTGTCGAAGAGGGCGCCACTGGATTTTTTAGGACACTTTTTTAATTTGCTCAAAGAGAGGAGTGAACTGTCTTGTTATGAAAAACTGAAAATTTAACAACAGTGTGAGTGACTTCAGGCTCCTCAATGAAACTGTGCACCCTTTAAATGATTCTGAACCACCATTAATTTTGTCAAATTCGAAAGCTAAGTTGTTCGGAAGTTTAAGGCTGCGAAAGTGTGAAGTTTCACAAATATAATATATAGAGATGTACGATATTTGATTCCGTTCATAGAACGGGTGCCCAGCTAGTAAAAAAAAATAACTGCCAACTCTCCTGTTCCCCAGAACGGCATGCGTCACTTGCTGGTTGTGATGGGCGCCCGTTCCAGTCTGCTGTACTGCACAAGTTTCACGTGGGACATGTGTATACATATCACCGCCAGCTTCTGTGCTTTTGCCACGCTGCAGCTTCTGCCTTAGTAATACGCTCGTCTGTCTGTGCGTGTGTCGTTGTTTGTTCGTGCTTGTATTCTGTTGAGGGGTGTGTGGATGTGCCTGTCTTTTGTTGAGGGGTGTGTGGATGTGTCTGTCTTTTGTTGAGGGGTGTGTGGATGTGTCTGTCTTTTGTCTTTTGTTGAGGGGTGTGTGGATGTGTCTGTCTTTTGTTGAGGGGTGTGTGGATGTGTCTGTCTTTTGTTGAGGGGTGTGTGGATGTGCCTGTTTGTGCTTATCACTGTGTGTTAGCTCTGTGTGTATATGTGTGTTTTGTGTGTGTGTGTGTGTGTGTGTGTGTCGTTGTTTGTTTGTGCCTGTCTTCTGTTGGGGGGGTATGGATTGCGTGTTTACGCTTATTACTGTGTGTTAGCTGTGTTTGTGTATGGGGAGGGGGTGGAATATTCAACCTCATACCCCTGAACTAGTAGGAACAAATCTGTTTTATTTCTCCTTCAGGGAATAAAAGAACAATAAATCATGAAAAATATTTGACTTTAGTAAGTTACTGTGATAAATTTTCCCATTTAGGAACAAACCAGTTTCATTTTTAAAAAAACATAAACCAATGTACTATAGTTTTTAAAATGCACAAAAAATTGAGGTAGCCAACCTGGTACCGGTACTAATACTGAGGGTAACATGCCATTTACAACCAAAAAAAAGAAGTTTCATTCAGATATCTAGATTCTAGATATAATGTTTCACATGATCGTCGGTCGTGGCGAGCTGGAAAGTAATAAACGGGGGTATGAGATAAGGAGCGGAGGGGTGCGCTAAAAAAATGAAAATTAATAAGCGGGAAGGGGGGGGGGTGTTTGTGCTTATTTGATACCTTACTTAGAGTATTTGTATTCTCATACGTGAGTTGTGTGGGTGGTTGGCGAGTGTTCTGGTGTGGTGTGCTCCTTCTTTCCTATCAAACATCTATCGCTCTTATCTCTCCTCCTTCTTTTTTGATTATTTTACTCTCTTGTAACATCTATTCTTTAGCACTTATATGGTCGTTTTAAGGACAAGCGGGCTAACCCAGATTTCGGGGGTTTCCAGAAATTTTGACCTACACCAAAAGTGGGCATTGTCCTACCCATAGGAGAAGTTTGGTGTCATTGGTGTGTATATTTGTTTGGTTATAGAGAAAACTTTCCTTAAGACACTGAACAAGGGGCAAAAACTTTGCCTTCGAGTTTCTCAACATAGCATCTTTCGGGAGAGCCCCCTTGTGCTTAAAAGTGACGATATTATTATATGACCTTAATGAGTTGCAAGTGCCGTAAAACTCTTACTAAAACTCCACTCCACAGTCCCACGTACGGCATTTACGGAGACCTCACGTCCATCTTCTCCCTGCTTTTGCTGCACGGAGTGGCCAACATTCCTCTCATCTACGTCGTACAGCTGTTGTTTACCAGCGTGAGTCTGTGCTACTGTACCACGCTCTTCCTGCAGGTCTTTCTGGGTACGTGTGTGTGGGGGTCTGTGTGTGTGTGTGTGTGTGTGCGTGTG